AGGGGCTCTAAGCAGCTAGCTGTAGGCGTCCCTGCTCATTGCAGGGAATTGGGCTGGGTGACCTTTGAAGGTCCCTTCCAACTCAAGATTCTATGAACTTTCTACAGCTCTGCTGCATCTGCTCTCCATTAAGCCCTATACTTCAGCTCTGACAATTGTTCAGGTCCAGAGAGGGGCAGAGGAAAGATTAGAAAGAAAAACGTCTGAGAGATAAATAATCAGCACTCCCGATGCCATTGAAAATAATTACATGGCAGCTGTCACAAAACACAATGAGCTGTTACCAATGTCTGGTCTTCATCTTTCTTCTGTAACCTTGATTGCTTGCATGGAACCACTGCAAAGAGAAGTGAGTCACACAGAGACACGATTAGATGCAATTAACTGTGTGGAGGTGGAACCTCTGGAAACGTGTGCTGTGAAAACTGACAATGCTTCCAATATTTTCTCTTAAGGAAGCACCAACAAACAAGCTTCTCTACGCTAAGGACATTCCGCTGTACAAGAAGGAGGTGAAGGCGTACTACAAAGCCATCAGGGATCTGCCTCCCCTGACCACTTCAGAGGTTGAAGAATTTCTAACTCAGGAATCTAAGGTGCGGTTGAGAAGTGGGAGCTTCGTTTGCTTTTTTAAAAGACGAGAACCATCTGACCAGAGCTGTTTTTCTGTTCTAGAAACATGAAAATGAATTTAATGAGGAAGTGGCCTTGATGGAAATCTACAGATACATTGTGAAGTATTACGATGAGGTAAGCACTGAGTGGGCCCAGCACACCGACCGGGCCAGGCCTCTCCCTGCTGGATGCCACTGAGGTGGTGTTGCTGCAGTCCCATCTGCTTGTGGATTTGCCAGTCCAGGGTGTAATGCACCCTGATATCAGCACTGCTTTGCTGCACCACAGAACTCTCCCTGCAGAGAAAGTAGCCAGTGCTTTGTGTTGTAGTGTTTGTACAGTATCCCTTATTGCCTGCCATGGCTCCTGTGCTTGCGCTCCTTTTCTCCGGGGAGTGAGAAAACAGATCACGGTGCAGCACCAGGGATGGTAACAATTGGCACAAACCCCTCAGCAGAGCACTCAGCCCTGCAGCAAGACATGTCTGCTCTTTTCCCATCACAGCCCTCTGCTCCAACAGACTTTCTCTTAAGGAAAAGAAGCTATGGTGCTATTACTAACAAAGAACCTTTTCTCACCTGGATTCACTTTGCCACTGGCTGCCTTCAGGCTGCTCTGTGAGGAGCTCCCTGCCCCCTCCCCAGGGGGATTCTCATTTCAGTTTGCTTGGCTGTTCATGAGAGGCTGCAGTACCTGCAGCTGCAGAGGCATCTGAGGTGCAGTCCCAGGGTCTCTCAGCAGCACAGTGGCTGCCTGGCTGCAGCGCCCAGCTGCCGGGCACCTGATGGCTCCTATTTCTGGTCTCCAGCATCTTGAGTTATCTGGCTTTGGCATCAAACTTCTAAAAAGCTTGATGTAATAATTGGAAAAGCAGGACGGTTTATTAAGCTTATTAGAATCGCTGACACAGAAGAGTTCGAGATACATTCCAATCTTAATGCCAATTTTTGCTCTTTTGAAGGCATAAAACCTCACTACACTTAACCCCATCCTTAGGACACTCTCCCTGTGCTTCCCCCAGGCACGGGGGAGGAGTGGGGGTAGGAGGAACAGCTACACCTCTGCCATTGCTCTTGGCCCCTTTGTAGAGGTGCCAGCAGCATTCTCTGACACAGCAGTGCTCAAGGGCTGCTTCCCACTGCCTGCTGGGTGCCAAAGGGGAGCTGTGGGGTGGCAGCTTAAGGGAGGAGGAGAAATAAAGTTTGAGTGCAGATCTGCACTGGAGTAAAACTGCCCCACGCACTCCAGCAGCTGAATGTGGAGGGGATTCATCTGCTTCTTAGTTTGGCTCTGTCGTTCTTGTGCAGAGTGTTGCAATTGCTGTAATTATAATGACTTGAAAGGAAAGCTACTAAAATGAAGTGCTGAAGTCAGAAGAGAATGTTTACATACAGACGGGCATTCAGATGAGTTCTTCTGCCAGTGGCTGCTGGAATGCAGACAAGTAGGCTTTAAAGAGCAGCAAATCAAAGAAACACTAACAAAATGATTCCCTTTTTTGCTAATTGTTAACAGATTGTCAGCAAACTCGAGCGAGAACGGGGGTTTGAAGATGTCCAGAAACAGCTCCAGCAAGTAAAAGCCTTATTTGATGAAAAGAAGAAATGCAAATGGGTTTGAGCAAAGCACTGCCTCACAGCATCACTGCGGGGAACTTGAAATAAGTGCTGCTGCTCCCCAGGCAGTTCTGAATGACTCTGTACAGGGCTCGAGCCACTTGAACACTGCTTCACTCTGACCATTCCATACCCCAGTTTGGGAACGAAGGGTGCACAGGGCTGGATTTTGGACATGCCAATGTGACGGTGCAGCTGAGGCTGGCACTGGCAGCCCAGAGGTTTTAGGTACTTGAACCCAGGTACTGCCAGCTACTGCCTCTGTAAGCTTCCCACAGACTGAAAAGCAGCTTGTAGGATCTGCGCGCTGCAAACTCGGAGTTGCCCATGTGAACCTTTACGTTGCTTTGCTCTGTTTGGAAAAGAGAAAGCTGATGATGGTTTGCCACACCCTTCCCACAGCCGCAGACAGGCTGTGGGGTCAGCACGCTAGCCAGCTGCAGGCTCCTTCCTTCCAGGCAAATGTAGGCTGGCTCCTGTTGCAATGAAAAGCAGCACCCAGTGACACTTGGGAGAAGCTTGCTTTGCAAGGGGGTGGGGCTGAGCTTTGAAGTGCAAATGCCACATGGCAGGAGTTTAGAAATGGCTTTGCAGGGGGAGCCAACCACAGATCAGGGCTTCGGAGAAAGGACCTGCTCTGGCATCAGTCTGTGTTTACATTTCTGCCTCTCCATCCTTAGACAAGCTGTGAAGCCCCTGTGAGCAGCTTCCGAGGTGTAACCTCTGGGGCCATGCTGCCTCAGAACAGGCAGCTGTGATGGCTGCGCTCAGAGAACAGCCCCTCTCTGCCAGCTCTGTCAGCCTCACCGCCTGTGTGCAGGTGGCTCACAAACCCAATGCCAGCATCTCATTGTATTTTTCCAGGTTGTCCAAACAAAGGTTTTGTCAAAAGAAGGTTAGTTAGGGCTTGGGCAGCCTGCCCTCATCCTGCTGGGGAGGTTTTTGAGGCGTGGATGTTTTCAAAGAAAGACCTGGGAGGAAGAAGCATTGCATTTGTGGCTGACACCCAATGGAAGAGCTGTGGTGCCGCTCTGCTGCCACACAGCTGCACTTCCATGTGAGCTGCAAGGTTTGGTCACCGCGGGCTCTGCTTTGATTGCTATAATGGCACATACTAAGGCTTCAGCCAGCACCCAATTTTCAGGCAGGGCTTTGATCAGCAGCATCTCCTCTACAAGGTGGGAGAAGGCCCAAAAAGCATTGCCTCGAGGCTCCTGAGGGCCCCACCACCGGGGCAGCCACACGCTGTCCTCTGCCTTGGTACAACTGGCTCACACTTAGAGCAGGCAGCATCCTCTGGGTCTTGGGATGAGGCAGAGATGTGGCACGTGGCTCCCAGGCAGCTGAGCACTCCAAACAGGTGTACCCGTGCAGCACTGCCTTGGTGATGCCCAGAGGTCACAGCACACCAGCAGAGCAGAGCTGGCCAGGCTGGCTGTGCATGGCCAGCCAGCAGCAGGGGGGGCAAACAGCCACACCTGGGCAGAAGGAAGGGCATCTGCTCCCATGGGAAGAACAAAACAAAACACACTGCCTACTGGTCTGCCCCCTCCCTGCCGTACGATTGCACAAATTGTTCCTCTTGCAGATCAGAGAGGGGAGCCGCCTGTCCGTACTGTGATGGCTTTGTTTTAATTCAAGTCTTATACTTGCTATTAAGTTTACACTTTATACTTGATGGAATGTATGGCTTTGTTCAGGAAGCTGCACTACAATGTTGCAGTGCTTTCAGCAGTTCTCTCCTCTGCCAGGCGTGGTGAGTTTCATTTTAATGGAAAAGAGCCGAACCAATCTAACCTGTCTTGCCCTCTGTCCTAAAGGAGTGCACTGTGGCTCGAGTAGCACATAAACACAGATCAGCTGTACTTAAGGGCTGTGATTTTTAATGTTCTTAACCTGACCTTTTTAAGCAGCGTCAAACTAATCAATGATAAAGCACAGTAACTACCACTGAAGGACAGGCATCAGCAGTTTGCTCACTGCACTCAGGCAGACGTCTCACGAGTTGAGCTCCATTTCGGTTGATGGCTGGAAGCGCATGAGAAGGAAACGCGCTCGTTTTGTTCAACAGTGACCTTCTGTACAGGCAGAAGCACAACTCACAGCTTCTGCTTGGAAAGCTGTAAAATAGAATCTGTTTGCGTGGGTCTGATCCTGTGAACCTCACTCTGTGTGTTTATATGATGAGAAAACTGAAACCAGTCCTATTCTGTATTTGTACTACTGCTTGTTTGCTGCAATAGCGTTAATGATTTCTAGAGATTAAGTATGTGTTGAAGCAGGCCCTGTAGCTTTGCCTACGGCCTGGAATAGGATTCTTGCCTTGTATCGGAGCCTCCTAACCAGCTTCACTCTGTTGTAGCCCATTTAAAGTCATGCTGGGACTTTGTAAACCATGAAGTGGATCTCACAAAGTGACGTGAAGTATAATGAAGTGATTGTAGCTCTTGTGGTAGGTTTGGGACCTCACAAAACATTGGCACAACTCCCACCCTCACAGTCTGCTGTTACTCGGACAAAACAAGGTATGACTAATGCTGCCTTCTGGCAACCCAACAACTGTAGTCGCGTTCTCTAAAATGAAAGCAAACCTCTCTTGAACTGATTTCCACACGTTTACAGGCAAACAGCTATTGCAAACAGCTTATTTTCTAACACTAGCTTACAGAGCATTATTTTGCAGTCATTTAAAGTCAAATGCTACTAATGTGTAAAGTAATTCCTGTTGTACAGAAGTTAACCTGTTGTTTAAAATGAATGGTTTGAAAAAAAGTGCAAACGACAAATACATGTTGGTGTTTGTATGGGTTTATCTCAAATAAAGTGCATTTGAAGGCTGGTTAGATTACTTTGTGTATTTTAAAATAGTTAAGAGAGCAAACAGTTTTGCAGTGGTGCCCGGGCCAGGAGGGGAGTGCAAGATGCAATACAATCAGCTTCCATTGCTTCCAGCAGTTACAGGTGCCATGCACTGCTTTCCTTGGAGCGCACTTAGGAAACCGTAATACAGCACTTATGTTTACCTATGGCACAGAAAGTAAAACATGCTGCAGAGCAAAGCTGAATGCAAGACAATGCCAGCCACCATCTGCAGCTCATTCCTCAGCTGACTGTTCCTACAGTTCCAACAATATGCAGTCAAGTATTAAACACTTTTCACTAATGAATTTACACTGCAGTATCCTGAAAAAAACAAAACAGTAAGAAAAAGCCAGCCCACATCTCCAAGTTTTCACTATCAAGTCATCAAAAATTAATTGAATCTCCACAGGTGTTAAGCTGATAACCAAGGAAAACAACTTAAACCTTAAATAAATAAATTTATTGTAGCTGACAAAACAAGCTACAGTGGCAACAAATACAAACTAACGTTTTCATCACCTGAAGGCAATTTGTTACACTCCATCTCTACAACAGTATTTTTTTAGAAACTGATTGTTGTTTCTTGATGTTACAAAACCAAGAGGCACATGGACAAGAGCAAAGTCAGGAGCACCCATTTCACCCCATCTGTCTGCATGGGAATTTCGGAGCACCACTCCAGGCGTGGATTCCAGCAGCTGGAGTACTATCAAAAATGTAGTTTATTGCATGTCTTGACTTCCAAATATTTGTATAGCATTTCTATAAAGACATTTTCAAAATGCTGTTATAAAGTTTTCATTTAGATACCATCCCGTTTGCTAACGGATGGCAGTCTATCAAAACACAAAACTGCACAGGATGTATTTCCCGCACCTCCGCACACACAGTCGTGCTTTGGAGGATATTAAGAGCACGTGGCCAGGAGGAGCTACTGCAAACAGCACCTACAGTTTGCACACCTTATGCAGAGTCCTCGCTCTGCACAGCAGCTCCCTCTGCTCCCCTGCTGGATGCCAGCTCCCTGCGTGTTCCTGCTGTGAGCCGCTCCCCAGCCGGCCCAAGCTCCTGCAGCTGCTTTCTCTGCCTGGTTTCGAGATCTTCCAGCCGCTTGCGAAGCAGGGAGAGCTCTCTCTGATGCTGTTCTTCCTTGAAATTAATAGAAGTGGCTCTATTATATTTTGCACGCCTCCAAGGAACCAAAACAAGCAATCGTTTCATTTTTTAAAGTAATGATTTTGAAACAAAAACTGTGATGTTTGAAATGTTATTCATTACATTCCAGCCTCCAGCACCCCCCACCTCTAGCAGGTCTCGCTCTGACACTCATGGCAAGCAGCAGTAGCAAGAAATGGGAGCGCAGCACTGCTGCTCTGAGATGAAGACACACAGCAGCTGTGGCCTCACCTCAGGGACAGCAATCAGCAGTGCTGGCTGGGCCACCTCAGAGAGATTATCGCCCTCAGAAGCACTCTGGGGTACACAGAATGCTTTTAAGCCCACAAGAAACAGTGAGTGGCAATCCTGTTTTGTAATTACGGAGTCACGATGTGAGAAAAAACACTATGACATTTCATGTCCAGAAGGAGCCATTTAAAGCCTCAAAATAAGCACAGAGGGCAGAGAAAGGGGTTAGAACTGCATTTGTTACATTCTGTAACGTGCCCTTTGTCTTTCAAGAACTCCTTTCCATTATCACAGAATCACAGGTTGAAAAGAATGGCCTGGGTTGAAAAGGACCACAACGATCATTCAGTTTCAACCCCCTGCTCTGTGCAGGGTTGCCAACCACCAGACCAGGCTGCCCAGAGCCACATCCAGCCTGGCCTTGAATGCCTCCAGGGATGGGGCATCCACAGCCTCCTTGGGCAACCTGTGCCAGTGTGTCACCACCCTCTGTGTGAAAAACTTCCTCCTAATATCTAACCTAAACCTCCCCTGTCTCAGTTTAAGACCTTGTGCTATCACTATCCACCCTCGTAAACAGCCGTTCTCCTTCCTGTTAATATGCCATTACAAGCAAAGAAACATAACTAAAGGGATTCCTCCCTCTTTTTAAAGATCTTGTGCTCCTCCCTTCGTTACAGCTGAGGTCCCAAGCCCTTCTGTTGCATTAGTGCCATGTGCTGTGACACAGTACCTGAAGGAGGAGGAAGGACACGTCGGGCCCAGGAGGCGGGACAGATGCTGACGTTACACTGACTGGGTTCAGGGATGGGATGCCAGGATTCAAAATCAAACTGCGAAATTCGTTGTGTCTGCGCTGCAAGTCCTTCAGTCTCCTCTGGAGACGTGTGTGTTCTTCATAGGAAACATTCTGCCTATGAAATAACATTTCTTAGCGCTCTAAATGCTTACGATCCCGACACGGCAGCACACCTCTCTGTGGGTACTTTGCTGCTTACTGTCCTTGTGCAAGAACACTACCATTAACAAACGTGAAGACATGATTTGACCACCCGTGTGTATTTCTCTGCCTGAATGGCTAGCAGTGCCAGCACACAGTAACCTACAGCAGGATTAGATTTTACACGGAATAAACTAAGCTGCTAATAGCATTCACAGTGGTGAGCCACAGGTGCACCATTCAATTCATTATTTGAACCAAGCTGTCTGTACTGCACAGTGAAGAGAAAAAAGCAGCTGGTCCTTCCAAGAGGGCGTTAGGCCTGTTTCCTTTGTCATTCTGAAGTCAGTTTTCTTTCCTGTCTTCCATCTCCACATACTGTGCTTTCAACTCCAGCACTGCTTCACTCACATCTCTTTTTTTTTTTGTAAAAAGAATTTGTTCTTTTGAAGGGATTCCTGCAACCACATCTATACAGTTTCCAGATAGCTTTCCTCTATCTCTCCACCACAACACAGCCATCAGAAATAGACTCCACTCACAGAATTCCCATATGAACAACCATTAGACTGTACTGCAGTTACCACACTAACTAGCACGCATCTTCAAAAGCAATTCACGTTTCTGAATCACATTTGGGCCATGTATCATTTTTTCAAGCTAGGAAAAAGCATTTATTTATTTATTACCTATTTAACACCTGGTTTTCTTTTTCTAGTTCTTCTATCTTGGCTTCCAAAAGTTGCAGTTTCTCTTGCATCCTCCTTTGTTTATTATCATTGAGAGTCTTTCTCTGCCAAAGAGACATTTCAAATAGAGCAAAGTAACACTTTGATAGATCAGATCCTGTGAAATCAAATCCGTCCTGCACGCGGCTTAATGCTCTGACAGGTCTCATCTCACTGGTGACAGGACGATGGGAAATGGCCTCAAGTTGCACCAGGGTAAGTTTAGGTTGGATATCAGGAAAACCTTCTTTACAGAAAGGGTTGTTAAGCACCAGAATGGGCTCCCAGGGAGGTAGTTGAGTCACCATCCCTGAAGGTGTTTAAAAACCATTTGGATGTGGTGCTCAGGGACAGGATTTAGCAGCGAGTTTTTAGTTAGGGTAGGATGGTTAGATCGTGGTTGGACTCGATGACCTTTAAGGACTTTTCCAACCTGAGTGATTCTAATAACCAAGCAGTCCACCTCTTAAAAGCACAGAAATACACACAGAAAGAAACCCTCACCAAATCATAGATGGCGTTAAAACAAAGTTGTCAGCTGTAACATTCTTGTGCACATCGCTTCAACACATTTCTCTGCTAAGAACTGGATGTACTTTGTCGTTACGTACAGCAGATTGCAAATCAACTCTTAATATTAAAACAATTCTGGTCTAGAATTTGAACTTTTCATAAATAGGATCATTTACAAAAGAAGAGCCAACGTACCTTTTTTTGGGCAACTGCAGCTCGACACAGCTTGTTCTTCACCTCGTTGTATTTCTCTTCCTTCTCTGTGACGCGCTGAGTAAGCAGATGCTTCTCCTCCAGCCACTCCATGCGCCTGTATTCTAAAGCCCTTCAAAAGGACAGGTTAAAAGGGTAAGGAGTTACACAGATGAAGCAGTTTTTTGGCTTAATGCCTTAAGGCTCTTAAAATAAACACTTCTTTTCGCAGCTCCTGTCTTTATAGATTTGAAACTTCTGACTTCAATGTGACTGTGCTCAAGACTCATCATATTTGAACCCGTGCATCAACGTAACCTTAGACATTTTACATCTTTGAAGGAAACGTTGAAGACTAAATCCAGCAACTGTGCAGAGGACATCTCTAAATTCCAATCAAATCATCACACTGGAACACAACATGAAACAACTGTGCCAAGCACCAGCTGTCAGAAGGGCTGATGACTGCTCTCTGTGCTCGAGAGGTGAGGCACAGCAGTGGGTTGCTGCCATTTGTGCCACACAAATCCTTTGTAATAGAGAAGTTCAGACTTGACTATTCTGTGCTCCCAAGCAGAACAAACACCAGCATGACAAGAAGCTCCCGCAGATACGCTTCCTAGACAGCATCCCAGCTGCACGCACGCCACAGCCAACATCTATTCTTTGTTCAGAACTTTGCATGGTTGGAACATGTTAAGATTAGGCTGTGATCTCTAGCAGTGGACTGGGAAAGGAGGAAGTTTCTCTGCTGGATTTTTTGTTGCAGCTATCTCAAAGCAGAGAAGAACCAACTGCCTATTAACTACTTTGTGACAAAAAAAGTCAAATGGTGACATTCAGTCCAGCAGTTTTTAAGAAATACAGATCGGTATCAATGCATTTAGACTTGGGCTGATGCAGTTTCCCTAATGGGAGCCTTGATGATTCTTCATAAAGCTCTCCTCAAACACCCTTTCCCTTCCCCACAGTGTTAACATCACTCAAATCAGAACCAGGATCCTGGCCTACCTGAAATCCTTCACTGCTCTTTTAGTTGATCACAAAAAAATTACTACCACCCCCAGAACCAAAGAGAAACGCACTGCTTAACAGCAGAACTTCAGCTGAGACACTGGTTAAAAGCCTCACAACATTTTTATTCAATTTCTCAAGGAAATTCCACTAATGTTGTTCCTGAAATGTTTAACAAGTGCCTCCTCCAGCTCATCTCTCATCTCTGTCAGTTTATCAGGCTCATGGTTTGCCTTTGGCTCTTTTTCTCATTTCACTTTTTCATTTCCAAGCTTAAGCCAGACAAAGCTAAATTCTTTGCCTACTCTTGCTGTTTGCCCAAATAGCATTAGTTTAACTTATCTGAAACTGGTTATCTCAGCCTCTCTTATCTTTTGGTCCTTTTTTTTTGCTTCTCTTTAAGCTGTATTGCTTTGGTGCTGCTTAACTTCTGGAGCTCAAGCTCAAAAGAATTACTGAACTGAGGAAAGAAGTCACATCAGCCACACAGAAAAAAAAAAGAAAAAAGGGAAATATCCCAAGACTCCTGTGGTAAGAGAAGGACAGACAGGGAGGACTTGCAGGTAAGGCTGCAAAGCTTCTTAGTTTCTGCAGTAACAGTCTTGGTGCATCTCCTATTATCTATAGGCTTATAAAATTATCTTGGCCTCGTATCAGCTAAAAGGATGTGGTGGAAGAAGTAAGAAGTACACACACATGGGCTGGGTCCCCAAAATCTTATCAAAGCACAGCAGTACAGTCACTTGTTTTACTTTCGTGCTTCAACACTCTCTAACATTCAAACATTGTGAAATTCTGGATCCACTCTACATGCAAGTTTTATGTTCAATAGAAATAGAACCTCATCTCATAAAAATCAGTGCATTTCATTAGTCAACAATTAACTGTAACAGGTATGGATGGAATCAAACCCCTACTTCTGAAGTTATCAGGAGCAAAGTTTTTATATACACAGCATAACAGAAGGTATGGCTTTTTTTTTTTGTCAGCACAATTGTCCAGTCTTTCCTGCTGACATTTAATCATAGAATCATTTGAGTCGGGAGGGACCTTTAAAGGTCATCTGTTCCAACTCCCCTGCAGTGAGCAGGGACACCACAGCTACATCAGGTTAATTTCAGACATTTTCAGCAACTGCATCCCATACTGAACAATCCATGTGAAAGCAATACAAGCAGCGTGAAAACAAAAAGTAAAACCAAAAGAGAACAAAGTTTACTTCTCTGTTTCCAGTTGGGCTTTTTCTGCCTGAGTTCTTGCATTTTGACATTCTTGTCTCAATCTTTCTACTGTTTCCTTCAACTTCTGATTATATTCCAGCAAATCATTTTCTGACCGAGAAAGTGAAGCCACTTGGAGTTGCATGTCTTGAATTTGCTATTAAAAAAAAAAAAAAAAGAAATATATACGCAAATATCTACATTAATTTGGAGATACTGCACATGTCAACATTCCTTTATCATAAACCTTTCTTATTTGTTCCCTTTCTCCTTACTCAACAGCTTATCTAGCAGTTTTACAGTAAACTACTACTAGACAAGAAAGAACTTTTCTATTGCTGTTGAAATACGAAAGGGAAGGAGAGGAAGGAATCCAGTCTGAGTCCCCTGTAACTCAGGGAATCTGACATTAGGCCTTAGAGCTGAACAGAACCAGAGCATCACAGCACACCAATGAGCTGAGCTTTGGAGCTACTCACTCTTCTCTCTCCATTACAGCCCTCAGTGGCTGCACAAGCCAGTTCACAAAAGCAAGTAGAGTCTGAAAAGTCCAATCCCTGCAGTCAGCACAGAAAAAGGATGCTTGTTCCCCTTTTCCTCTCCCTAATTACATGCTCAGATATCCCAATTTCTACAGGAAAAAAAATATTAACTTCAGGTGCACAGCCATATTTGTATCTACCAAGGAATAGTACGGCTGAGCAGCAATTATAAGAATTAGGTTTCATTTGCATTACTGCCATTAATTCATCTTGCAATAGAAATATATCTTTTTACTCCAGTTTATTCGTTTATGAAACATCTGTTAAGCACTTGAAGAACCTCAGATGAGAGATGCAGTGTAAATGCAGAGCATTACCTAGAAACAGTTTATAGTTTCCATGGAAACTGAATCTCCAGTTAAATAGTGCATAACCATATTCAATATAGCAGCCTATAAACATTCCCATTTTGAAATCACTGATACCTACAGAATGCACGAGGCAGAAAGCTGTAAGCCATTTATGAAGGTCCAGGAAAGCAGGGCTGATTCCTGAACACTTGATTTACAGAGCTGTTAAATGCATTTTGTCCCTCGGAAAAAAAAAATCCTTCCAAATCCAATCTGATCTTCAGACACTGGTCATGGTAACTGCAGGAAAGGCTGTGTTTCTCTATGAAATGTTACCAAAACCCTTACCTGTTTTAGATCATCTCTCTCACGTTTCTTTTCTTCAAGCTCCTCTGTCTGAATAGCTTGCTGTTGAATTTTTAATCTGAAATTGTTTAAGATACTCTTATTTTTATCTCATTAAAATATAGATGGTGGCAAAGTACAAATCAGGCTGACAATAGAACACGTTGCATACATATTTAGCAGTCTTACCAATTAACTACAAAATGCCTAACAATCCACTTTTATTGATGACTACATACGTTGGTTTGCTTGCTTTTGAAGTAAGAATTTTGCTGGTTTTCTTGTACTGACCTTCATACAAATACTACAGCAAACCAACTTTGCTGAGAGTTATAATAAGGAATTCACAGATATCATATTATTGTCCCAGTTTGCCAGTTGCTGGCACAATGCCATTGTGCAAAGAAAAATGGTTTCTTATAACACTGCCATTTGCAAGTGGCCAACACAGTCCAAATTCCAACACAGATAATGAAACTTCTTCAACATGTTAATTAAAGTGTTCATTTAAGGTTGGGATGAACAACGTTCACTTTTGATAAACAGCACATTTTTTTCTCCTCCCATCTTTTTACACGCTGCACAAGAAGATCCTTTGTTTAGTTTCACATAATCAAGATACATGCCCATAAATAGTAAACCTGTCTAATGACTTGTGAGAAGAAATTAGGGGGAAAAAAAAAAAAAAAAAAAGAGACATTTGTTTTAAGGCTAGAAAAGGCACTACCGCAGGCACTGAAGTTCCCTTTTGCTAGATTCTTCTGCCAGCTGCACCACACGTAGCTTCTCTTCGTACTGATCCCTTTCAGTTTGTCTCCAAGCGTCCTGTTCCAACTTCACCTTCTCCACATGAGCTAATCTGCTCTCGAGTTCTAACCTGAAACATGATTCAGTATTTACAGGCAAACCGCGACACAGCGCTACGAGATTGCTACTAAAAATGGCATTTAAGAAGTGACTCCAAACACCTCCCAGGACTTTTAGAAACTGAGCACTAAATCAACACATACTTTTCATTCTGTAAGGCTGCAATTTTTCCAAAAACTTCCTCTTTGGCAGCTTGCACTTTACGAACCAACTCTTGATCCTTTTCTACTAAAAGCACTTTATGACGCTCAACAGCTTCCTTAAGAACTTCTTTGTCTGACAGCAATCCTGCATTATACATGAAAAAATATATGTTAAAATGTCATTATTGATGTCATCCTGATGAAATTCATTATTAGAATTACTTTATCAGTAGCAAAAGGGGAGCTAAAAAATCTGAGTTCACAGGATGGAATGTGAATGAATGAAAAAGTAGAACAAGAAAGACAGAAGAGATCATCATAGAATGGCCAGGGTTGGAAGTGACCTCAAGGATCATGAATCTCCAACCTCCCTGCCACATGCAGGGCCACCAACCTCCCCATTTCATACTAGACCAGGCTGCCCAGGGCCCCATCCAGCCTGGCCTTGAACACCTCCAGGGACGGGGCATCCACAACCTCTCTGGGCAGCCTGTTCCAGCACCTCACCACTCTCACAGTAAAGAACTTCCTCCTGATATTCAACTTAAATCTTCCCTCCCTCAACTTAAAACCACTTCCTCTTGTCCTGCCATTATCTACCCTTGTAAAGAGCTGATTCCCCTCCTGTTTGTAGGCGCCCTTTAGGTGCTGAAAGGCTGCAATGAGGTCACCCTGTAGCCTTCTTTTCTCCAGGCTGAACAAGCCCAGCTCCCTCAACCTGTCTTCATAGGGGAGGTGCTCCAGTCCCCTGATCATCTTTGTGGCTCTTCTCTGGACCCTCTCCAACAGCTCCCTGTCTTTCTTGTCCTGGGGGCTTCAGACCTGGACACAGTACTCCAGATGGGGCCTCATGAGGGCACAGTAGAGAGGGACAATCACCTCCCTGTCCCTGCTGACCCAAGACAGCAACAATCAAGATAGAAACCACCATTCTAGATGAATGTTATGGCAAACCCATGAAGGCAGTCCAGTAAAAGCTGGGTGGTGATTTACATCATCAGCAACTAGTCTTAGTGGCTGTGCCTGTGGCTTTACAATACAGGAGGCTACTTCACATTGCCAACAAGTTCAGCTGTTACCTGGTTGCTTAGACCATTGCCTGTTTTGTTCACAGAACAAGCTAGAAATTCTATTTTGTTCCACAAAAACGCTTAACCCATTTTGGTTTTTTTCCCCTTCAATTCCATGGATACAGAATTGGAAAACAAATAAAACTCCGAAGTCTTCTGGTACATTAAGGTTTCAAACAAATTGCAAATAGCTGTACAGTTTGGCAGTAAATAAAAAGGTAAAACCCTAGGAAGCACATGATTTGAAACAGATTATGCTCAACTTGCATCACAAACCAATTAATTTACACAAGTGCAGGTTGCCCTGTAACAGCCCTTCATAACCTAGGAGATCAAGTGGTAGGGTACAGTTATTTCAGACACTGAAATGAGTTTTCTGATCTGTATCACTTAGACTAGAAGCAGAAGGTGAAGATTGCTGGGGAACATTTGGAGGAAAATAATTGAAGAGCTCTAAGTGGAAGCTATCAAAGAAACCACTAGAAATTAATTTCACTAAAAATTTATTGTGTATTTTACCATCCATTTCACTTTGAATCTTGTTTCTCTCTCTTTCTACTTCATTCTTAGTTCTTGCTGCCTCCAGTTTGACATTTGTCACTTCTAATTTGTGTGACTGTTTAAGTTCTTCTACCTATGAATTAGAAAAATAACAAATCCACTGAAAATAAATACATAGTATTCACAGCTTTACTGTTTTTCAGGCAATACTTTGCTAACAAGAAAATCTGTCAAGTAATGACAATTAGGCTTATTTTAAATATATCTTCATGAATATCTTTTTTTTTTTTATCCACAGCTTTCCTGAAAGTCATACCACAATATCCAGATTTGTAGATAATAGTTAATGGTGATTATATTGGTATTGTAACACTCAATCTAATGACATGTTTTATTACTTCGAGTCAGACATTGAAAATTCATGAATGTGTTGTCATTCATCTTGAAACACAAAGTTTCAGTGTTCCCTAATGAAGACAAAGTGCCCAAATACCCCATCGGTTCCAGGAACCAAGCTGTCTGACAACAGACATGGATTTCATCTTTAACCAGACAGTTACTACAAGCTATAGTGTAGGAAATACTCTAAGATTTAGCAAAAACACGCAGGATTACCTGTAAAAACTCAGCAAATACCATGCATTTTGCAAGCAAGCTTCCAAACACTCGAGCAGTTCTGAAAAGATTGCTTATTTGAACTGTTGTGGTGGGACACTGATCCAATATTGCATACGACCCCAGTGCCTCACTAAGCATTACTATGTCAGCTTGCACATACCTCACTTCTGACTAAAAATCCCTCAGAGTCGAGCTAAAATTAAGCTCAGTGTAACCTCCCTAGAGTAAAACAAAACAGTGATATGCAAAACCAGGGTACCCAAAGCTTCCCAGAAGTCATTTCAATGTGAAGATCACTTATCCCTTTCATCACCCCTTGACCTCCTGCAGTGCTACTCTACTATCAAAATCCAGGCCTTCATAGATGTCAAATGCATTCTAAGTCAAATGCTTCTCTGCAGCTGTGACGTGCACATCAAACAGCCTCTTAAAAGCAGGAGTCTTAAGAATATCAAATCAAAGACAATTACTGCTTGCACAGAAACTTTTTTATAGTTTAGGCATTTGTACACAGTAATTACATGGTCAATGAGAATTAAATACCTAGAGGAAAGCACTCATATCAAAAATCCATTCACAGTGACAAATGTAATTACAACCTGCTAGCACAAGCAAGTGGCAAAAGGTTAAGAATGACACAGTCGCTTATTAAGTAACGACGTCAGTGGGTTTGGTTGCTTCAATATGAAGCTGAGAACATTTTAGGGTAATTTGCAAGGTAAGGTGGCTTTTCTAAGGCACGAGATTCAGAAGTCCATCTTTGTTCAGGAATAAGTTTGAGTGAGTGTAGAAGTGCTGGGGTGTCAGCATATGACGTCATTTTTTGCCTTCATCCCTTCAGCTGAACACCTTCATTTTCTCCAACTTCTGAAGGCTATTGATTAAAAAATGTTTCATATAAGTTTCTTCCTCCAATTCATCATTCCTGTTGGACAAGTGTAACACGTTGTATAAGGAGGTTTAAAACTGTGATATATCCTATTCATATGGTAAGTAAGAGCTTCTTTCGGATTAAGGACCAAAACTCAACACTTCACAGTCATAAATGTGTACTGTAAAGTTTGTCTTGGATGAAACCTGAGATTGCTAAAGAGCAATTATGGAAGAAATTGAAGATTTTTTTTCCTGTGTTGTGTCCCTTTTTTTGAGGCATATGCCCATATGAACCATCATGCCCATACAAAGAACGTGTCAGCGTTGCTTTGGAGAGTATAGTTAGAAACACTGGATAGCTTTAGGTCAACAGAGTGCTTAAGATAATTCAACTAGAAGCACAAGACCAAAATCACTGGCTTTACAGTTAGTTCAGAGATAACTAAATCCTTTTCAAACGAGCAAGAAAACAGGATGGAGATCGTTACCAATAACTGACAAATGTGCTAAAAACTATCAGCCAATGTTTTCTCCAGCAAGGGAAGAATAAGGAACAATAGTATTTATTAACTAGGTACTTATTTCCTTAGGACAAGTGTGAGGGCTCAGATTTACAAGTAACAATTCTGCAATATTTGAGGTTAAAAAAAAATAAATTCCTAGTGCTTCAGTTTTGCTTCCTTATGCAATTCTCTATGCTGGTATTTGGATAAAGATCTGTCTGTAAGTCAAGTGCTTGAGGAGGAGCCGCAGCCAGATGAACCTGGTGTCCATGCTGATCTAATTATTGGGGAACACTGAATAGTGGCACCGAGTTTCTCAATAAGCACTTGCAGATTTTCCCTATCCTGGAAACCGTTTGTTGGTGGGGTTTTTTTTTTTCCCCAGCTAAGGATCTTTCTAAAAAATTCTCAAAATCCCTAAGATACGGCGCCAACCCAGCATGTAAGACACTCAAACACGTTGTTAGACAATGAACTACTTAAACTGATGGAATGCAATGCTGTACAGAAGCATTTCTGTACAAGCTATGCTGGCGTGAGTCCAAGAGTGATGCTATAGTAACACTACTGTCTTGTTTCACATGCAACCTAAATCTCAGCAGGTGATTCCAACGCAGATAACTCAAGAAAGAAAAAAAAAACCAACAAAATGATGTGATGTTCCATGGCACTTCACAGAGTTCATGAGAAAAGAAAGCTTTTTGCCATTAGGATAAACTGGCTATCCTCATGAGTACTAAAAACATGAAGATGCCTCTTTGTGCACGGTTACATTTACACAAAAAGACCTCTAAAATGAAAAAAAAAAAGTGCATAACATCAATTTTGGAGATATTGAGATACTTTTAGGGATGAAGTTTTTCCTGTTAAGTCACACACTCTTATGTACATCTTCTATCTGATACTGGGAAGAAAACCCAAGCCTACTCTAAGTCACAGAAGAAAATGTGACCTTATTCTTAATGTAAAAGATAAACAGAAAAACTTATACATCATATGAACAACTGTTTCAGACATCATAAAAGCACTTACTTTAGCAGCCAAGGAATTGACTTCTTGTTCAGATTTATGGAGTTTGCTAGTTAAAAGAAAGTTCTGCTCACGACACATCTGCAGTTCTTCCTCAATCCGACTAATGTGTTGTTCAGCTGACTTCTTTTCTGCCTTGAATAAAAGAGGCATCTGTGAGACTTTTGGAGCAGGGCTGTCTCTTGCTATTCACCTGTATGGTTCAAGTGATCTCCAAATATTACTGACCTTTCATACAACAACTATCTGCAAAAATACATCAACCTTGGTTAACAATACGTTCCCATACAGCAAGGGTCTCATATTTTACTCAGAAACAACAACTATCTTGATTAACACTGCCTGCACAGAATCACACACTTCAAAAGGCAGAGATAATCTGACTCAGTTAGAAGGCAGCACCTATTGCTACCAGCTCTAAATACAGCTCAGCTCTAAATACTGGAATCACCAGTATGAGTATTATAGCCTCAAGACGTGGGATTGATTGAAGTATCAAAAAAGCAATTAAACCCAAGTTTTCACCTTATTTTTTCTAATTGCGTATTTCCAGCAGGATTTTTTTTTTTTTAAATAAGTTTTCTAATTTAAGAATATTATGATCCTCTTTAAAATGGGATCAGAGCACTCAGCAGAGATCCACAGCACTTTGTAACAAAGTTATATAACAGTTAAAAAAGTGAAAAGGAAAGTAAACCATATATCCACATCTTGCAGCTACGTGAGAAGTCTACATGCAAAGGCTCACTGGCTAGGCAGATAGCAAGAACTGAAGACAAGGAATGAAGAGGAACACTAAAACAGGCCAGAAATAAAAGCAGTTCTTAAAAGAGTGAACAAAAGCCAATAACCATACAGTCACGGTAATGCATTGAAGAGCGAAGATACAAAGATAGAAAGGACAAAAAAAGTTATTCAAAAGAATGACAATGTACCCGTAGCAGATTAACACATGAATGTCAGTTTCTAACTGCAACTCAGTGACAACTGCTTGACTGTGAAGGTGGCATCACTCACAAGGACACAAGACAACAAATAAAAGAGGAGACTTACCTCTAGAGACCTTGCCAGACTCTGCAGCTCAGCTAACTGCCGTACTTGCACCCTTTGGACACTTTCTGCTTGCACACCACAGTTGTCTCTTTCTGCTCTTAGTTCAGCTACTTCTGCTTCTAAGCCTTTTAATTTCTGACACAGTTGTGCTTTTTCTCTGGAGAGGACCTCCACACGTTTACTGTCCCTCGTGGGATCAACGCTAACCAGCTGATTATGGAGCTCTTCTTTATCTTTCTCCAGCCTCGCAATCTAATGGTTGTTAATTGGAAAAATATAAGCCTTCACACTGACAAGGTGTCACACAGCAATAAGTACAGTGGTTGACAGTTCAGGAAAGTCCAACAGCGTGCATTTAAGTTATTATGAAATTACATTAACATTTATATTAGAACAATTCACAGACACAGCAGTCAATGCCTTTTTGTGATTCAGTTTTCACCAATAAGGCTCATGCTCAGATGTTCCTAAACTGCCTAGCAATAGGTGGAAGTAAATCAGCAGCTACAGGAGAGGAGGAAGTTGGGGATCACATAAAGCACTGGATACAGGAGTCCTTGGAATGAATCTTTGAGAAACAGTGGCAATCAGAAAAGGTTCCCGAAGACTGGAAAGAGGCAGATGGCAAAGCCATGATTAGGGGGGCAAACCAGTCAAGAAGGAAGATCCAGGTAACTGCAGGATGGTCAGCCTCACATCTGCCTCTGGGAAGGTTACAAAGCAAACCCTCTCAGAAGTTTATCCACGCATCTGGAAATGACAAGATGATGGAATGCAGAGCTTATCAAAGGCAAAACATGCTTGACTTACTTCCTTCTAGGAAGAGATGCCTGGCACTGCAGACTAAGAAAGCACACTAGGTCTCACCAAATTGGTGAGATACAGGCTGAACAAGTATATGAAGAAGTAGGTGGAAGAGCTACTGCTGCACAGAAAGGAATCTGGGTATCCTGGCCAACAGCTAGAGTACGAGTCGGCAGACAAGTGTAGTATTCAGTCAGAGTGGCCTTGCAGCAAAGATAACCAACTGCAACTGGTGATCTGGCAAAAAGACAGCCAGCAGATCCAGGGAAATGATTCTCTTCCTCCTTCCAGCTCTTGTAGGACCTCAGCTGGCATACTGTGCCTGGTGCTTGAATATTGACACATTGAATAAATCCAGTGGTAGGACACCGAGAATGCTGGGAGCATGACATGAAGACAGGCTGAGAGAACTGGGCCTGTTCAGCTTGGATAAGAAAGGGTCTGGAATAACTACTGTTTGCTACAGTGATCCTCCAAGAAGAGATAGAGAAGATGGATCTAGAACCTTCTCAGAGGTGCGTGGTGATAGGAAGAGAGGCAACAAATACAAGATGGAATATGAAAAATTTCAAGTAGATGATAGGAAGAAATGTTCACCATGAAGGTGGTTGAATATTGGAATACTTTGCCCAGAAAGGCTGTGAGTCTCCATCCTCACAGATATTCAAGACTCAACTGAGCCTGGTGCTGAGCAACCCAATCTCATTACACCTTATCATTTAAGCAGGGGGTTAGGCTAAACTAGAAGGAGGTCTCTTCCAACCTACCATATGATTCTATAATTCTGTAACCACAGTATAGCTCAAGCACACAGTAACTGAAGACAGTCAAGGTGACTTGGCCAGTCAGAAAACAAAGCAAGCTTCCAAGGCAGTACAAATAGATACAAACTCATCTTGAGACTGTAAGAAATGTATACACATAGATTCCAAAATAAGCTACATGGACTAAATGTACTGTGAAGACAGGGGCAAAAGAGTCAGAAAGTAAGCTGACAGAGCTTTCCCCATATTTGAAGGCACAATATTCCAAACCCTGCTCGGCAGCAGCACTGTTAGAAGTTCCATCAGTGATTTCTACAGAGCAAAGCCAAAATCTGCAGCGGCTGCCATCGAAATCCCTGTCATGAGAAAATTCAAGTCTTACTGCATGACATGCCTGAGGAAGCACTAAGGAATTAGGATGTTTTTGTAGCCGCCTTGCAATAAATAATGTGGAAGGTTAAAAAGGTTCAAAATATGAGAAAAAAACTAGACTACACTTTGCCCTGGGCTCAAGGTAATTCCATTCTCTTTAGGAGCGCTAATTAGTTGCAGCATTAGCACAAACTCAACAAGCCCATAAGACAGGCAGGCTGTAAAGCAGCATGTGCAGTTAGCTCTGGGAAGGACAAATGTTCTGTTTTTAATGCTTTTCATTTCTGAATTTGGACTGATTTTGAAAGCAATGATTGCCTTTGATTTATGCCTCATGTTTGGACTAATGCATCCAAATCTGGCATCTCCTGATACGCTCCCAGACAAATACTCAAATGAATATGCTAATGACATGTACAACACTCATTTACGCTGCTGCATGTATTTAAGAGATGAATAAGATGCCAATTTATTTAGCTACACTTTTGAAAGTCCAGTTCTGATACAAACAAACTGTGGATTGCTTATTCAGGAGTTGGCACAACTGAAATCAAGTTACCAAAGCTTTGAGTATCCTGTCAGTATCATTCTTACCACTACTGTCATAATCCAACCTAGTTTCAAGACACGTGCCCTTGCCTGGTAGCAACAATATCTTCTGAACTTTTTTCATTAGTTACCGCCTTTACCACATAATTTCAATTATTTTTTTTTACCAGTTGCTCACATAACTTATTAATTTCAGGTTAGCATAACATCTCATCTCCTATCAGGAATGTGATTTCCAAAAAGCATGTAAGCAGAGCTACTAGTTGACATTCATCAGAAGGCAAGTCTACTGTTGTGGTAGCACGTATGATACTGCAACACATGGCTGAATAAGCCTACAGAGACAGCCTGAGGCTAAGCCATGAAAGTGTTTTGAGAATTATGAGAGCAGAAACAAATACTACATTATGAAATTATGTCAATCTGACAACCCACCAAAGCACCAACACTCACAGCATTCACACAGCTTTATCAGATACAGTTTAAGCTAAAGTAATATCACGTACCTCTGCCTCATATTTTATTTTCTCCTCCTCTAAAACATGTTCATGTTCTTCTTTTTGATGCTCAAATTCCGACTTCAGGAAAGTATGCTCATACCGAAGTTTGTTATATTCTGTTCTGTATTTTTCCATTTCCTAAATCAGACAAATGAAACATTCGGTATGGAGTTGGCAATTTTACCTCCAGCTTCAAACGTCCATGCAACGCTTCAGTCGTTTCATAAGGGCTTTTGTGTAGGAACAGATCCCTCCTTATCCTAGGGCTTCAGCCTTCACCACCTGGGGCAGCAGTACTGAACAATACCAGGCAAAGCAAAGTTGCACACACTGACTGCCCTTCAGTTTCAGTTTCCTAAGGTTTTTAGGAGCAGTTACAAATGGGTAGCCACCACTCTAAAAGAAACAAGATTAAATACTTGCTACTTACATTTTCTAGTTTCCGATAACGTTCTGTCATTGGAGATTCCAATTCCTGTTGTATTTGTGCTCTTAGCAGCTCTAATTTTTGAGGAGTTAGCACCTTCAGACAGAAAGGTATTCATATTCGTTTATGTAGTTGTGACAGCCCAAATATCCATAAATAAAGTATTTTAAGTAAGGCTCCAGTATTTTAAGTTAAGTTCTAAAGTCTTCTAAGTTCTGCTTAATTTTCTGTTTTTCTAAGGAATTTTTCAAACTGTAGTTACAGAAGCAAAGAAATATAATATTAATGAACTAAAAATATTCTGGGAAGATAACAGATTTTAAATGTCAGCATTCACTAGAAGAAGCAGTACAAATGTCAGTCAGTGTCTGGGGATCCTCTGTTGGATGCTGTATTTGTTTCCTAGGAACTGCCTCACATTGGTTTAAGGAAACAAGTAACTATAGAAAATGTCATGCAACTGGACTTAAATGTTTTTGGTGTTGTTTGGTTGCTTTCATGATGAGGAAAGTTGCCATCGAGAAGAGAAACGAGTATCTACTCTGGTAATCCCCAGAGCAGATGATTGTCCTCATATCAGGACACACAAGGACAGAGACTGAGGCTCAGACTGAGGGTCTCACTATTAATGCAGTACATGATAAAAGAATTTGGAAGATTTTGTTAAAAAACAAAACAGTAACCTCATGCCACAGTCACACTAAGGAAGAAATATATTCAGACTGACTGTGTTTCAAGATACCTGCAATAGATCCAAGCCAAGTATATGCATGTTACAAACAGAACTAAAATATGGCCCTGTTACACGATTCAAGTCCATATTAAGCTCTGCCAGTAAATTATCTCACCTGCATCTTCAGTTTTTCCAACTCTTGTGTTTTACCCAGCAACTCCTCTCTGTATTCTGCAAGAAGCAGCTGGAATTTGTCATGTACAGCCTGCTTTTCAACCAGCAACCGCTTCAGTTCATCTTGGGATTTTGTATACTCTTCCTGTAATCTGTGAGAGAAAACAAGTTTCTTTCATAGCTGCCCTCCAAATTAAAGCTCATCTTCAGAAACAAAAATTAAAATATCAAGATTGAATTAAGCTTTTAATATCCTTTTCCTGGAATATATTGAAAACTTATTTCACACCTATAATGCCTTAAGGAATTTTGAATTTTCTGCAGTAACCAATACTCAAAAATGTCCTTAAGTAGAGAAATAGCCAACACACACAAAACCCCTTCCACCCAGCACGGAGCTCCATCTTTTAACATTTCAAATGAAGAAACCTACTTAAATTCACGTACCTTAAATGTTCTGCCTTTATAGTTTGATAATTTGCTTTATGGTGTTCACAGCGCATTTTTTCATCAATCAGAAGTTTTTGCAACTCTTGGGAATTGGCCGCATCACCATTTCCAACCACGGGAGGAAGGAGGCTGCCCAAAGTATCCATTTTGTGATGCCCATTCACGATGGCTACTGAGAGGACAAAGTAAAAAATTAACTTATAACAAAGGTACACCAACATGCACTTTTTTGGCTGCCATCCCAGAAGGCAGGGTGACCTGGCAGAAATAGAAGCAGATGCAATTAGCAATCAAGGACACTCTGCTCAAAGGCTTCACATGCCATTTTTGCTTTCAATACAGAAGAATCCTGGCTCTGCTGTAACTCATATCAGAAATCTCCTGCTGAAAAGGCAGCTCTTCCCTGCTCGTACTCTCTCAGGGACAAATAATTAAGTTAGGAGGAGATTATTTGAGTCAGTACAAAACAAGCACAAGCATCTTGCCAGTGCCAGACCATATAAAATGCTTTTTTTATTTATTCTGTATGCTGAGAATCCAAGCGTGGAGTTCATTTTGTCCTGCTAACTTTGGTTCAAGGAGAGGACACAGACATCAGACACAAACAGCTTTTGCTTATCCTAGTCACAGTCTTTCTCACTACCTAACTACATCACGCTGCTCAGCACACCAGCACATCAGCTGGAAGAACAGGGACGACCCCCACTGCTGAGGTCCTACCAAGTCCTTTCTGGAAAAGAGGGATGATTTCATGGCCGTCCACCTTCCAGACTACCCAAAGTTCAGCTCCAACACGTATCACCAACACGTGTCACTTCCTCATTTTTGAATTCATGTGGTGGGTTTTTGTGAACTTTCCAGCGAGAGTTTTGCTAAATATGACAATCTCAGGGGGATGTGAGAAAGCTGCAAATCACCAGATGCTGAGAAACGAGGAAGTATTATAATATACCTCCCCAATTCTTTTTGATATTGAGCAAGATATTGCCTTAGCCTGATCACTGCTGCAGCTTCTAGAGGATCTGGGGAGGGAGGTGAATTTTAGGAAGTTACAAGATTTAAAACAACTGCTCTGCCATTTTAGCTTTCAGCATAAGTGACTGGTGCCTTCGTGGCAGTGCGAACAAAACAGCTTACTTCTCCAGCATCAGCAAGTTCCTCACCTTCTTCACATTTGGAGCTGGACACATCACGTTCTCCTGCATTCTAGTCCCCAGATCTTGCACAGGCCTACCTTAAATGCTCAGCATTTCATTCTAGAAAGCCCCAAACTACAAACTAGATGAAAATTATCTGCCAGATAGGAAAAGAAACATGCATTAGTGCTTAATTTCTTCCTCTGTCATTATATGGGAAAAGGTGACAGCAAAGTCTACCAGTGTTCCAGTACCAGCACACGATGACAACAGCAATTGCTTTCATTCTGCTCTGCCCAAATCTGCTGAGGATAAGGAGGAGGAAATTGGAATAAAGAATGTTCTCCTCAATGGCTGCCCTATATGCATACACTGCACGTTTCGTACATGAACAGAATAAATTCTGAAGAACCTTCTAATCAAACTAGGATCTGTTTTTCATTCCTGGCTTTTGTTGGTTGTTGAGAAACAAAGCACAGTAGCCATTTTCAGACTCAATATTGTGGCATTTGCTATTGTTCAAGCAGCAGCCACGTGGGAAAATCTGCCCAGAAACCCTAAGGACAATAAGCTACGTGAGAGGACAAAGAGAACTCCAGGCAGCATGCTCCTCAGAATTTCTAAGCATATCAACAAGGTTAATCGTGACCGCCATAAAAAAGCAAACAACAGTACTCCTCTTCATCTCAGATCTCTGGTTCCATAAGCTGCAGTACCAAATGTAAATGTGCAACTGTACACCAACCTGTAGAACTACGTGCACAGGACTTGGGCCTGGACCCTACGGCTCACATGCACAAGAAGTGCTTCTGGAGCTGTATAACAGATACAAATTCAACATCACCACAAAACCATGAAGTTTTCTGACTAAAAGAAAGAGAGAAATGGAAACGCGGGCCTTTGCTCTTTCAGTTCCAAGCCTTCACACGCACTCACAGCTTTCACTACTATCAGAAACTCCAAAGATTAGAAAGCAACACACATGCAGTTATGCATTCATCTGCCTAAAGGCTGCAAGTAGAACAAAACAGGAAAGAAGAAAAGGGAAAAAACACAGCGCACAAAACCATTTCATACCCTCAAAAAACCCAAACTGGATGCTCTAAAGGCAACAAAGCTATTTTAGCTTGCAGGGACATCTAGTGGCAAACTTCGCGACTTGCAATCCGCAGTGATAGATTTCCCGAAGTCCCTTTCCCTGAAACCATTGACAGCAATTTGCAACATGTAAACATCTCGCTTTCTTACTTTTTTTTTTTTCTTTCAAAACAAAGTAGAATCATAGAATCACTCAGGTTGGAAAAGACCTTAAAGATCATCGAGTCCAACCAAACCTAACCATACTACCCTAACTAAGAACCCTCCACGAAATCACATCCCTGAGCACCACATCCAAACGGGTTTTAAACACATCCAGGGATGGTGACTCAACCACCTCCCCGGGAAGCCCATTCCAGTGCTTAACAACCCTTTCTGTAAAGTTTTCCCTGATCTCCAACCTAAACTTACCCTGGTGCAACTTGAGGTCAACCAATAATTACTGATAGGGCTGCTAATACTCAACTACTGACATGAATCTTTTCTGTGCCAGTGGCACTATCTCAGCTACATCGGCTGATGCTTAGACATAAACACCTTCAAACTTGCCCAAGACCACCCATGCTATTTTTGAAAAACACTTTCCAAGAATGATAGTTAAAATTCCTGCCTCCCATGAAGACCTGTTTGAAAAGTAGAGAAACATAAAATACACTTTAAAGAAACTAAAACCCCAATGTATATAACATTATTTGTACATCCGTCAAATTTTACCCTGCTACAGAACTGTAAGCTTTTGTCAGCTGCCCAAATCCACACTAGAAAATCTTAACATCACATTGTGCAGGTACATACAGAAAAGTATTGGTGCAAAGTCCTGAAGCTTCAGTTATATTTTTGGTAGAAAATGAAGCTAAGTGAGCTTAAATGAGCTACATTTCCTAGAACCATCTTTGTTCTGCCTTTCTTCTCCGGTTATTATCTTCATACAGAAAGAAGGTCTTCATGCTTAATGACCTACTTCACCTCTCTACCCTTTAAATCCACACATCACGAAAGGACATCTTCCATAAGATCTTTTGAGCTATATTACTTTAAATGCTGCATCATTTTCTTTTTCAAGGTGTGTGTGGGGAGGTTCATTTTGTTCTGCATTACCCTCCTGCTTTCTCCAGCCTCACTCCCAGATCTGACATCCATCAGACCCTTCGATTTAACTCGAGAAGCCAATAAGCTCTGACAAGCAGAAAACAGCCGTTTTGTTTGGTGAGGTCAACGAGTCACGTTAGCTCACGGCACAACCCAGCCAGCTGCAGAATCGGTGCGAGCAGGCAGCTGGTACTGGCTGGCATGAAGGAACAGAGAGCCAAATAAGGAGGCAGAAGGAGGGACAAGACTTTCTCTTTTCAGACACAGAGAGCAGCTGCATCGCTAGTTTGGATGCTCGTGCTATCACAGCCTTGGTTTCCAGATAAAGTTAGGTTACATTAGCCCTACCTGACATGCCTCTGCAGCACAGCAGGGAACAGACTTCCCACCAACACCACAGGGAACGAAAATTAACACAAAGCTGTGCATTACTTGGGAAACACGGAAGTCTGGCACTCTTCTGCCCCTGAACTTCGGAGCCTAGGCAAGTTGCAGCCCCGCCAGCCCCACACAGGACACGAGACCGAGACAACATCTCTCTGAGACGCGTCGTCTGCTTCTCCCCGCTTTACAGACCCCTGCACGGGAACGACGCTCCCGGACGAACAGAGCAAGGCCTGGGAGGGCTGAGTGCACGCCGCACAGCGGAACGCCAAGCAGAAAACCCCCTCCAGCCCCTCAACAAACCCCCCACGCCCAACCCGCCCGGCCGCCGCCGCCAGGAATTTAAAAATGGCGCCGCGCCCCGCCTCGCCTCACCTTGCCGCCCGCTCGCGCCGCCGCCCGCCGCGGCCCCGCAGGGTATCCTGGGAGCACCGGGACGGGCCGCGGCGAGGGGGCGGGGCGGCGCGGCGTTGCCAGGGTAACGGGCTCACGCTGCCTCCCCTCTCCCGTTTGCGCCTGCGCCGTCGGCCCTGGCACCGCCTACACGCGGTGGAGGTGGCTGCGGGCGGGAATGGCCCCGTGGCGCCTCTACGGCCCTCCCTCCGGGGGGACGGGCGGCAGCGCTGAGGCGGGCTGGGCTGGCGGGTTGGCAGCGGGTTGCCGGTACCGCGGCACTGCTGCCCGCTTCTGTGCTGCGAGGCGAATGAACGCCGTACTTCATTTAGCCGTGTCTAAAGGGGGTTACAGCCAGAAGATGCCCGACAACGATAGCTGTTTTCTAGGCAACCAGCTGGTATCAGCACTGGGAAAGCTTGACTCAAAGTAGAGATCTCCTCTAGGCGTTTGCCTGGCGGTACTGCTGGCAGCATGCGAATGTCATCGTCGTCTCCTGCAACAGCAGAGATACCTGTAACTGAGCAGCTCATGGTAATCCAACAACCGACGTGTTGGACAGCTGAGTTGTACTTGGCTTGGTGTAAGCTGCCTGAAAAAATGCCACCTTTGGCCTTGCAAAACCGGAAGATGAAATCACTTTTAAATGCCATAGTGCTGTGATAAGAGTCTGTCCTTAAACAGAGCACTTTTTACTGTGAAGCTCATTAGGACCTGAATATAATTTTTAGCATGCAGTAGCACAGAGTATATGCTAGCACATAAGACCACAATAAATAGAAACTGTGAGGCAACTTATGAAACCATTACTCAGTCAGATGTGTTGTACAGGACTGCTGACCACTCTCTAGTGTTCTCTCTAGTGTTCTACCAGCATGTACATAGGCTGTATCTCGCTTATACAGCACTGATTGTCTGCTTCCTTCCCTTCTACAGCTGTGACAGAAAGGGATGTTTTCCAGATTAGTGCCAAATTACTAAAATTGTACTCATCAGAGAAAAACTGCAGGTGGAATTTATTGGTCTATGGGAGATTTCACATCTGAGCATACTGTACTTGTATGTTACAGGCTTCAGATCTGACTGCACTTCCATTCCCATTCAATTGGCTCAGTTCTAGCCACACTAACTGAAAGAGACTTTTTTCCTAATTTACATACATGTAGTAGGTGGATGGGACTTCATGCGAACGATCATGCAAGCGCTCACGACTGCTTCAAATGTAAACTCCTCCTTTATCAAGCACTGTCTCCAGGCAAGCATGATGATATAGTGCTTGCCCAGCCCTGGTGGAGGTGAATCCACCTCCACAGAATCATAGAATCGCAAGGATGGAAACGACCTGCAAGATCATCTAGTCCAACCACCCTCCCATTCCTATTAGTACCACAAGCTACTAAACCATATCTCGTAGCTCCTCATCCAGGTGCCTCTTGAACACTGCCAGGGACGGCGACTCCACCACCTCCGTTGGTAGGTCAACCTCCAAGGGCTCAGCGTCACCATCAGGTGGATCAACATCCATTGGCTGTGATTCACTGCTGCTCCTCTGAAGCAGAAACTTCTTCGGTGGAGGAGCATCCATCCTCCTCCACAACGGCCTGCACTAGGTGGGAAGGGACTTTAAATTGTTCCTTGTGTCAGATAATTGCACAAGTTGGGTAGAGACTGGTGTTCTGTTGTCAGTCGCTACTTTGACAGTGGTTTATTTATAGTGGTTGTATTTGTCAGGAGGTGGCTTGTGACCAAGCCATGGCAATGTGACCCTACGAATGTCCCATGAGAACCAAAACATGGCTGTGTTGGGCAAGGGGAGGCTATGGCCTGAGAGTTGCCCTAGGTGGCACTAATGGGATTCCACAGGGCTCTATTTTTGAACCAGTTCTCTTTAATGTTTTCATCGATTACTCCAATAAAGATCTGAAAGTTATATTAACTAAATTTGTAGATGATGCTAAATTGGGAGGAGTGTTGACTCCCTTGAGGGCAGAGAGGCTTTGCACCAAGATCTTGACAAATTGGAGGGTGGCCCCCATCTGCATGATGAAGAGTGTACCTATGATGGGGCAGCCCTGGCTCTGGGGTGCACTGGGTGCAGGTTTGGGCACCACGGTATCAGAAGGACATAAAACTATTAGAGAATATCGAAAGGAAGGCTACAAAGATGGTGAAGAACCTGAGAGCAACCTGAGGGCCCTGGTTTGCTCAGCCCAGAGCAGAGGAGCTAAGGGGAGGCCTCATGGCAGCTGCAGCCGCTTGCAGGGAGCGGAGGGGCAGCGCTGAGCTCTGCTCTCTGAGCCCAAGGGAATGGCATGGAGCTGGGCCAGGTTGTGGTCAGGTTGGGGGTTTGGAAGAGGTTCTTCACCAGCAGGTGGTGGGCACTGGCACAAAATCCCCAGGGCAGTGGCTGTGGCTCCAAGCTCCTGCATTTCAAGGAGTGTTTGGACAACAGTCTCAGACACAGGGTTTGTTTTTGGGTGGTCCTATGTGGAGTCCAGAGTTGGACTCAGTTGTCCTTGTGGGTCCCTTCCAACTCAGGATATTCTGTGATTCTGTGAAAACACTTGGCCAGAGTGTGCTATGCACTCTTCAAAACCTAAGAAACGAGCAGCTCAGAGCAGATGATGAGTGAGACGCTGTTTTTATGACTAGTTTGTTGGCGTGTTAGCAGGGGTTGTTCAGCTCATCTCAGAAAAGGGCAGAAGTTATTAGCAGCTGGGGTGGACCCTGCTGTTTGTGAATTGAGTTAGTCTTAATATAGAAGTTGAGTTCCAGGCATCTGCATGAGACTCAGCATGACAAGACCTAGGAGCAACTGAATGGGAGGAATAGAAAGCTATAGGAAGTACAGCATGAGCCCAAAGCAAAACACTGTTACTGCACTATTCCTTCTCCATTTAGGGTGTAAAAATAAGATCACTGCTACTGGCTGCCAGTGCCAGATGACAGAAACTCTGCTTTGTGAAAAGGAAATATAAATGCTTTGCTTCATGTCAGCGACATTTGCTATTAGGCGCATCACATATTAGATTTTGCGGCACATGACCAAGATTTCTGACAATAGCGTAAAAAATTTGGCTTTGGTTTCAAATTCTGTTTTCCAAAAAAAGTAATCCAAAGTGAGTCCAGCTGCTTGGCACAATAACATCATATTTGCAGAACAGATTCACACAAGCTCTGAGAATAGCAGGATGATATCTCCTGTGATGTTTACAGATCTACTATGGCACAGATGTAAATACAATTCAAATAATCAGTTGGATCAGAACTGCAAGAGAGCACAATGCTCAGATTCTTCAGTACTTTAAAGCTTTCTTTCAGTTCACTAGCACTGCTACTGACAAAGAGAAATCAATATGAGGCAGAGTGATCAGACAGTAAGTTTAAGAGACAACTTCCATCATCAAATAAATGTAAATATGTTTTATTAAAAAAAAAAAGTCAGTGGCACCTTAGAGGCAGTCATGACTACACAACAAAATGTACAAAAATTACGTTTTTATAGTTGCATCTTTCCACTGTGGAGCATAAAGTGAGTACGCTATGAGAAACATTGGAGACTGCACATTGAGACAATTAACTCTAGTCAATTAAAACAGACAATTTCTGGTACAGGTTAAGATTAACAGGCCAAGCTTTCTTGGGGGTGTTGGTGAAGGAAAGAGAAAAAAAAGGAAAGGAATGAGGCTTTGTGCAAAACTTTCCAACAACAGTGCAACTTCATATGCTATGCATAAAGCAAATCAGCTGTACAAGATCATCCTGGCAGTCCTCATGCAGTCTTTACATACAGCATCAACTCCACTTTTTTTTTTTTTTTTTAGGGACAATATACAATTCCATTAACTAATGTTGGAATTTTCCTAGTCTTTCATTGCTGTAATGTGAAATGGTCTGATTCTTTCTCCTGGATTCTATCCAGCATCAGAGACCATTCAAACTTTCATTCATTCATTTGAAAACAAGGCTCTTATCAACTGTTGCCTTTTAAATGGGAGCAATATAATTAAAGGCCAAATTTTGGCATGACTACTGTCATCACTAAAAAAATAAAAACACAAAAAAAAACAATTGACAAATATTTGCTTGATTAAAAAAGAGGAGAGTAAACTTGCCTGATTGTAGTTCCTAGCTGGACTTTCAGAAGTGATTATGTTATCCAAATTAAAGTGTTTAAATACATTAATCTGTGTTTACCTTCTGCTGCACCATTGAATCCCAAGTTAATATATCTGTATCACAGTAGAGATGGCTTCCAAAATCCCCTACCAGCTGGATGAACCACAAACTTCTGTTTTGTTTTGTTTTCCCAGATTATCTCTTGTTCATCAATTTTAACTCCAGAAAGCACTACTTTTGTTAATGTAGTTGACTTTGGATCAAGCATAAGCCTGGACTGATTCCTCCTTGAACAACACCATTCAACTTGACCTTAAAATGTTTGAGTTCTTGTCTGAGTTATTCTGTAGCTAACAATTAGCTCGTAACTCTTAATGATCGCTAAACTATGTTTACATTGGATTTACCCAGCTTCAACTTCCAGTCATTGTATCTTTGCTGCAGCAATTTGGCTTCACCTATTCTATTTCTAGTCCCCAGATAAACGTTTGTGGTTTTGTTCAAAGAAAAACACTGGCTTTTAAAGATCCTTCATACGCAGCAGGTGCCAGGTCCATGTGCAATGGTTCTGCAGGAGAGACACAGCATAACACAGGTGTTTTGAAATTAAACCATAAGGACAGGCATTAAAAATTAACTTAAAGACATTTCATTTAGAGAACAACATCAAAGAGAACTGAAATAATTGACTACCAGGCAGCACCAGGCAGAAAAGACACTGGCAATTTTTTGTAGAGTGGGAGTTATTAGAGACTGACAATGAGTAAGTGCAGTAGGTATACTAAGAATGACATTTAATGTGTTGTAGGAGAACAGAAAAGCTCACGATGCCCTGACAGAACACGGTCAGTTGATTGAGAAGTTAAACGAGCTTCTCTCTGCAACACACACCCATGTCAGCAAAAGGTAAGAAACAGGTGAAGGCAGGAGGGGAGGCCTGCAGGTTTCAGGTGGAAACTAGCTTGGCAGAGCTCCTCGCACTGCAGCCTGTCTTTTGCCCTTCACATCTTGCTTAATTTCTTGATGCATGTCAGATCGCCCAGCAATTTAAATACAGCAGGGAAATAACCCAGAGAAGTGCTGTGCCCGTTTATCCATTAGGGTTGTTTAATTTCTGTAAGTAACATTACTCAGAGCTTACAGCTTTTTCTGCATCCCCTGTCAGATAAAAGCTAATACAGAAATGCAAGGCCCTTCTGTTTCCAATTTGGCCCCAGATACTTTATCAGGATAGCGAGCAATCTTTCATAGGCCCTTTGATTTTATGTTCTACCTTCATTTTGCACTGAGGACATCTTCCAGTGATGTAACGGGCTGACCTTGGAGCAGAAAACCTTCGCATCCTCGGGATGTACCAACTGCCTTTGTTGCAAGACATGATGACTACCTGATGTTTCATTTTTAACTACATATACCAGCACGGGGAGTTTCATCTGTCGAAACATCTAATTGTGCATCAGGCAAAGAAGTTTTTAAGTAAAATTAACTATGCACGGTATCCCTTTCTTCTGCATGTACTCTTCTGAACCCATATGACAAAATGCTGGATAGTGATTTCTTGAACAGCCCAACCAGAAGGCAGAAGGTTATAATAAGGAAGGCAGAAGAGCACCATCATCAAGACTCATGCATTTCTGATGATCACCTCCAGCATTCTCATGTTTTTGTTGTTGGGGGGGTTGTAATTTTTTTTTTATTATTATTATTTTATTTTTTTTTTTAACAAATGGAGATGCTTGTGGTCTGGGGAAATGAGAACAAAGAGTCACAGGGATTATTTGTAATTTAGCAAGTGGCTTCAGAAAGCAATGGACTCTGACTAGAAGCACGTGCATTATCTAAAGAAATGAAAAGTACAAATTAAAAATATACTATTTGCCTTTTTAAAAATGAAGATGGGAACAAATTATATTGAAAGAGTAGAAAAGACCAAAGAAGTCTCACATACATCAAAAGGGCATAAAAAGAAACCAAGGGAAATCCTCTCTTGTGATGTAAGGGCCAGAAAAGAGCATCATTTTTTCCCCCTCTTTTTAATCTTTTTAGAATTGTAAACAGACTTCCCTGTGAAGATAAGTTTATGAGCTGTATCAGTGGAGGCAATCTCAGTTAATCAGCTGGCTGAGAAAGGAGGCCAAGAGCAGATACTTGGAAGGGGGGCTGCAGGCTTGCTGCTGTGCACTGTGCCAAAATGAGTTAATAGAAGTGGGAAGAAAGGCCTTCCTGCACCAAGCAGCAGCAGGAGCATGTGCAGCAATTAAGGCAAAGAAGGTTTATGCATAACACAACTGTCATGCTCCTCTGCAGGGAATAGAGAGGTAAAGGCAAAGAGGAAAAAAAAAAAACAAAGAGGAAGAATGTATCTAATAATTTTTCCATCCACAGCAGAGGCCATTGGTACATTTGGGCTTTATGATGTGATGCCACTTGCAGCAGGACTTCTGCTTTCCACTCCACCTTCCTCAGAAGATTGGACAAAGCCCGGTTATGAACACGGGTGTGCCTGATCTGATCTGCTACCAGTGCCTGCAGGCCAGGTACCATCCTTCCTTGAGCTGTGGCACATACAAAGAATTTTTTAATGACCTTTATAGTGCTTTAATTTTTTATTTTTTTTTAATGCCAAGTCATATCATTACCTATGCAGTTAATTCTGTCCTTTCTTCAGCCCCTGAAGACACAAAATGGTAACTATATTCACTGATAATCCAGCAGTCAAGAAATGTCAAAGCTCTTCTGCTGCCTCCCTGTTCCTCAGAATAAAGATTTCTGAATTTCTACACCACCTATTGAGTAATTGTGATCGAGTAAAAATAAAACAAACTGCACCCACTCAAGTAGTTCCCTTTCTACCCCTTCTGTAAAGATGGCATAACAAATACCACAACTGAAGAAGAAATCGCAATGACAGTTAATTCAAAAGTAAGTAACACTGAACATCAAATAACTAGAGACATTTTTTTCCCCCATTTAATACAGAGCAGAGGAGCATTCTGTTGGTTGTTGTTTGTTTGTTAATTTTATTTTTTATTAAAGATCTTGTTCTACACGATGGCTGAGAGCCAAGCAGAGGATTTTGGGGATTTTTTTTTCCTGCAGTTCCTAAACAAAATAATCTCTAGTAAGAAAACAAACCCAACCCTGTCTCCTAGTATGGCACTGTACGATATATACATTATTTTTGGGAATGTCTGTTAAGAGAGTCTGCACAGTGTTTGTCTATTTACAGAAGTTTAACTCCCTGCTCCCCTAAGGATCAGTTCCCTCATGCTTCTTCTGCACTGTTTAATCTGACATAAGGGAAAAAAAATCCACTGTAGCCAGAGTCCCACTATATATCTGCTCTGCATTCAGCTAAGAAACCCCAACAATTCAGAGCTAGCAAAGGCTAATCTAAATGTTGCCTTTCTCAGTGCCTGAAGCAAGTGAGCACTTTTCTTTGCATGGAAACATACCCATGAGTTACACTTACTCCCTCACTCCTTTATGAAGTGGCCTGGAGATTTACTTAATTCATTTCTTCATCTTTGTAAGCTTTTGTGCCACATTCACGTTTTTCTTGAGAGTGATAAGGGACAACAGAACAACTGCTAGTTGTGGTCACTAGTCATCAGCGGTCTAATTTTTGAGCAATAAACTCTTTGTGCAAAGAGTTACTAGCAGAAGCATCACAGGTTTTGCTGCTCCTGAAAACTGGAAACTCCATGTATCATTACCCATTAATTTAGAAACGAGAATTATTAATACTGTACAGTTTGGCTTATCTTGGTAGCTGGATTCAGAGAGAAAATGATTTATCTAAAAGGGCTGATACACGCTGTGATGTGCTTCCTTGTGATCACACTCCTTGCACTCCAGTCCAGTGAAAAGAACACCTCACACTTGCAGTGGCTTGGATCCCTCCCAGAGCATCCCACCATCTTCTGTGGTCACAGGCTTGTAGAGTGGACAACTGGTTGGATTAAGGCAGAAGACTGACACAAGATAGCGGCTTATCACAGACACGGCCCAGTTTGACACAATCTGACTGAACAGTCTACTGACTGCCAACAAGTACACATTTACATATTTACACCTTACGATCCAGGAGTCTTTGTAAGCTTCTTCATTCAGTCTGCACATTTAAACTGACAAAAAAAAAATTGTAAACACACAGCACTTAAAAACAGAGAGGAAGAAAAAAAAACAACAGCTAGACCAGCAGCTTCATCTTGGTATAATCATCCTTTCTATGGCACAAATGATATGATCCCAGTTCTTGCAAAATATTGCCAGCAGTGTCACTGCGAAGAAAGTGCAGATGATATGAAAACGGCTCTTCATCATAGGAGCAATGAACTTTGCAATAGTAGAAACGCACACTAAGATGACAGTCATGAAGGCCAAGATAACATTTATACATTTCCCCAGGAGCACTTTGGCATTAACCGTTTCAGTTTGCTGTGCTTGCTGTTCCTGCTGATGGAGCTCCAGTTTTGAAACCCGGGTCTGGCACGTTTCCAAGGCTTCCTAGAGATAGAAAAACAAGAATCAGGGCAGCTCTGTTCCACACAGCGCTTCTTGTTTTAGCAGCAGGATCATCCATCATCTAGATTAGAAAGTGTCATTTATAATAGACAGCTAAAACTTGAATGAAACACCAACTCATTTAAAAGTAAACATACATATTTATCTACTTCTATGCATCACTGCCTATTTGGGCATAATTAAGTCTGACAACACTGTCCAAAATATCGTATTTCCATTTTTCATGCTTGAGAAAAATTATCATAGCTCTAATGCTCACGATAACGTGTCATGTATATACTGATGAGAAAAAGTACTGGGAAAGTTGTTGCCACGGCAACTGACTGCATTAAAACAGTGTCAAAGTAATTTTCTTTGCATAGACTATAGAAAACATTACAGTAGTAAAGGCTTGCTCTGATACTAATTAAATTACTGTGCAACATTTGACTTAGGCCACCTCTCTGGTGTACAATACTTTTGTCCTCAAAGCCACCAACAGTACAGTGCTAGGCCTGAGTTCTCAGCATCTTACTGATTCCTCACTCTGTCACAGTGTCAAGGCTCATTCATCCACACCTCAAGTGAACAACATGCAGTGGAGACATCTGTAGTGATGCCTGTCCAGCATTCTCTCTCTCTCTCATGATATATTCCACTTCACAATTTGTTCTAAAGAAAGTAGACTCTGCTCTTCTGCTTGGGAGTGGACTAAAAATGGTCTTTGAGTCAAACAGCTGCTGAATCAGTCACCCACACACAAAACTTCTCATGTAAACACATCCAGCTGCTTCACTGACTTGCCTAAATGCCACTTCTTACTTGGGTTGTGACTTGGGCACCATCGTATGACACAGTGTAAGGCTTGTTTCATGAGATGGATCAACTTGGTGTAACCTTTCAACACTGCATAGAAGGAAGAACGTATGCTCCAGCATCCCTACTTCCTTCCCAGTCTCAAACTCCAGTCATTTTCCTTGGGCTGGAAGGAGTGTTCTCCTGATCTCACAGTAAATTGATTCAATCCAACATTCCATGTAAAAAAACAACTAACACACTGTATGCAGAGCTATTAGCTCTTTGACTGGATCCATTTTCTCATGGCTTACTGTGAGACCGGTCAGTCACCGGAGTCAGCAAAAAATGTGGCCATTTACAAAAGACAGGTTCCTTTCTCAGTTGTAGGAATTAGTACACAGAAGATTGTTCTCAGTCTTTTATCAACCAGGAAAGAGGCTAATCTTCCTGCTCCTGGCCTGCTGCCTGCGCTACACTTAGCGATGTGAGCACAGGCATGTACAGAACAGTTTTTGTTCACCATCTGAGCCTATACGATGAGAGTCATTGAGCATTCCTCATTCATCAGTGAATGAGAACCTAAAAGTAAGGCATTCGCCACTTCCTCAGACTTCAGATAGAAGTATTATGCATTATACCAACACTTATATCGCGTGTAAATATTGAAGTATATAATTACATAGTGTTCATGACAAACTTGAATACGTTAGTGGTTTTTGACTGAAGGCAGACCAGACTATAACACATTGGTTTGAACACACTGTACCACTTTGACTAGAGGGGCTGCTGTAACCACAGGTTAAAATTCTTACATTATAATGACAAATCTGCAAATCTATCAGTTCTCTTCTCACTTTAAACTCAATTTATTATAAACGTTGTCTTGTAATACAACTACATATTGGAGAAAGTCTGAGCGAGAGGTTTGTGTTAAGACAGTGTGAATAGACTCAAATCCTTCCTCCTTTGGTGCAAGAAATTAGAACACTGCCCATTCTTCATCCACAAGCCTGCCTATATTGTATCCTCAACTCCAACAGGTAAAATTCTGAGTCTATCGTAACAAGTAGAGACTGTATCACTAATTGAAAGGTGCTGAAGTTTCACCTTAAAATAGAAGTCTTAAGTCTTTCCTCACAGTTTTACATGTAAGGATATAGAATGATGCAAATGCTTTACTGTACAAGATTTACAGAAAATGTGAGAAGTTTGATAAGCATAAAAAAGTACCTGAACGTCTCGTGATCGCTCATATGCCTGATAGGCCACTTTCTCCTCTATGCTGGCTAGCTCTTGTTTCAAGTTTGCTGTCTCATGTTGATGAAGATCAGTGAGATCATTTAATTGGTCTTCCAATCTTTCATATCTTTTCAAGAAAAAAGGTCTAAATTTAGTGCCTTCTATTCAAGTAATGCTAAATCAAGAAAACAATCACATTTTTAGAACTTCTCAGTATTATCGATTCATCTAATTGGCATTAGAAAGCACTAGAGAAATCAGTAGCATTATTGGAAACACTTCACAAGCACTTACTCGACAAACAAAAGCTTTCTGTGAGTGTTCCTTGCTGGCAGTGCATATTAAAGAACAAATATCTGCATATCATTGGTGAATTATATAACAATAAAGCAGTGGCAGAAATTACCCAATTCACATTTCATATTTTTCACTGTTCATTAAGACAATAAAACGTGGTTTCTTAAGTAAGCTTGAGCCAGCTAACAACTCATCAGCAGTGACGCTTTTCCCTGGATCCCCCCTCAGTCACAGCTGTAAAGTCCTATAGCTCACATACAGCCCGTTCTGGCACATCTCTACATGGTAAATCAACTAAACTAGTAGAAAGCTAAACCTTTTTTGTCAATCTGTGACCTGGTTTAGCACATAAACAGACAAATACTTCCGTTGGCACAAATGGCACGAAGGTACAGCAGGTGCAAACCCTCTGTAGAACGTCTCACTTCCCACAGTGAGAAAGGAGTTAATTACAAGCAACAAATGCAAAAGGAGGTTGTGCTTCAGCACTTAAAATTACACCACACCTGTGTAAACTGTGCCCTTGTGTCCACTAGATAGCATTGTGCCTGAGAAGTGTTTGCACAAGGTACTCAGCACTAAAGATGTCACAGCTGTAAGCCAGCTGTCAGTTTCAGTAAGGCAGTTATTGGGAGATGTGGAACATTTTAGTACTAGGTATCAGCTGGAATTATTTTTTTCTTTTACTTCTAAAGTATCACATACACACACACAAGCACACACTTCACATTTTTCAAATAGCTTCTATGTCCATAAAACTCATTTTGAGAGAACAATTAAAAGAAAATACCTATATCTTTCCTCCTGTAACATTTGAGAAATAAAGCCATAGTCTCTCTTAAACTGTGTTTTTAAATTCTCTATGTCATCAGCTAATTGGGACTGAGTTTCCTTTATTTCCCTTAGTTCCTCCAAAATCATAGAAAGCTTTCCTTGGCTGTCCAGGGCACCAGCTGTGGCAGGACCAAATGAATTATTCCCATTGCTGTCTGCCGAGCCAGAGGTGCCACTCGAGCATTCGTCATCGCTAACGTATTTTGGTTTGGCAACAATGGTGGCACTGCCCCCATAGGTTCTAGAGCTCGTTTCTGGCCGAAATTCCTCTAGGGTGTTTTTGAGATGAGCGATGTTGTCAGCACTACCAAATTTGTTTCGGATCAGATTTGCAAACTCTCTTGACTTGCTGAAAACAAAGACAGGCGGTGTCAAGGATACACCTGGCACGCTCGATTTGTTGCTCTCTGTTCCATGCCCAGAGTTACGAGGCTTTCCATGCTGAATATCTTTCAAATTATCTTTGGAAGTATCCTTAGTACTTTTGGAAGATCCGTTTTGTTCAATATCCTTGAGCTTTTTGTGGTATTGCTCTAACTTCTTCTGAAGCTGGGCAATGGAGTGGGCAGATTTCTGGTTCTTTTTCTCAAAGACTTGTTTAATGCGTCCAGCCTGTTGCTTGTCTGCACTGTTTACCAGTTTCAAGTACTCAGCCACATTTCCATCTCGAGCGGTTTGTTCGACTTTGATTTGTTCTGTAACCTTCAGGATTTTCTGTTTCAAGCTATCTGCGCTGAGTTTGACTTTGTGAAACTCTAGGACTCCATCTGGTACATCAAAGTTCAGATTGGTGTCAGAGCCTCCACGGCGAATGTTAAGTGGCAAACTGAGAGTATTCATGTCATGTCTTTCCACCTGAGGAGAGAGAAAAGAGGCAAACAGCGTGAATTTTATTTTTGAAATCCCACTTTCTGTTTCTACATGTAGTTATAGCAAGTAGAGAATGCAAGGTATTTTACTGTAGCAAGTTTCATTGAAATTGGAAGCATTTTTCTCATTTTGCCTAGACTGAAAAACAGAACAAGGAACTGCCTCATCTCCATTAAAAAGAAAAAAAGCAAGACTAATGAGAGCAAAAATTATGCAAGTACAGTTCTTCAAAATCGTATACAGTTCACTACAAAATTAGAACAATACCTGATTAGGAGAAGGTCCTAAATACTAATATTAAGAACTTCAGAGAGATCACAACTGTTACTTGCTCTATTGTTCTCATAGAAATGGTCACATACTGATAGAGTCAGTAAATAGATCTTTCATTCTACAGGGAACAGTATATTTTACCAGGATAAAGCCTCTTTTTGATAAATGCTCCTCCCATTCAAGTTCATCACACTCAGAAGTTTTTGCACACCTGGCAGAACACTTCTGAAAATGTACAGAATGCTTCAGCAGGAAGCAGCTGTTAGCTTTTAGTGCAGACATCGCAGAGAAGGAACTGGCCCACAGTTGACTTCCCACACTTGATGAAGATGTCTAACAACTTGATCTGTTTTGATATCAAACTCACCAGTTGGGATTTACCAAAAGAAACTCAGGAAAGAAAACTGCACTCACTCAATTGTAGGATCCACACACCTTAACAACGATCCCAGGCAGTGTAACCAAAACAATTAGTCAACATGGTCACAATATCAGCACAATGGATTATTCACCTTTTTTAAAAGAAAGGCAAGATAGTCTGATCAAAAACATACAGAGTATCTCCTCCTATAAAATCAAAGCCACAGAAGAGCCAGTGAGACAAGAATGGCCTGACCAGATTAGTTTCATCTCTGGTATCTTCTCATATAAACCTCTCTGACAAAGAAGGTGCATTTCACTCAAGCTGCCGCAACACTTTAGCCGAAGAGACTGCTTAACAAAGGCTCTGGCCATAATTTGTTTTCAGAGCTTTAACATCAGAGTTATGGTTGTTGTTTGGGCAAGACCATTGCAGAGACAGAACAGGAACCTGTATTCAAGCATACATTTTAAAGATGCATTTATGAAATGTTTGATGACTCTGCTTCAGAAGGCCTGACACACTGCATTAAAGGTTGACTCCCAACACACTACTTAGCAAGGAATTCCTTTTTGCAAGATTTCTGCACACATACCTATGCGGACATCACCACTCAACTTACTTTCTTGAAACCAAAACCATTATTAAACATTGCTGCAAGGCTTGTTTTCCCAGCCTTGGGCAGTATTAGTGACCCTTCTGGGAATTTGCTCCAGCATTCCTTTACTGCTCTTAAAAGAGACTGAGGAACAAGACATGGTACCCCACCGAGGGACACGCATCACGCACAGATTGACCACAACAGCTAACCTCACCCTGCATCCACTGTGATGAGTTACAAACATGGAGGAAGTAACACAACTATAAAATTGGATCTGTCCCTGGACATTTCAGAGACGAGACCATCTCTGCTCTTGCTTTATATTCTTACCCTTTTATTACCGAGGACTATGGGGCTGGTTGGTTTAGTTGTCTTTGGGTTTGTTTTGTTTTGCTTCTGCACTGCTCAGAGTCATCACAGCAAGATAACATAACATAAGGAGGTGAATAGGGCGTAGATAGTGATAGGACAAGGGGGAACGGTTTTAAACTAAAAGAGGGAAAATTAAATCAGATTAGAAATTCTTTATTCAGAGGGATGTGAGGCACTGGCACAGGCTGCCCAAAGAAGCTGTGGATGCCCCATCCTTGGAGATGTTCAAGGCCAAGTTTGATGGGGCCCTGGGCAGCCAGATCTAGTGCCTGATTTAGTCAGTGGTGACCCTGTCCATGGCAGGAGGACTGGAACTAGATCTCTGAGGTCCCTTCCAATCCAAGCCATTCTATGATTATTAAACAAACTGCTTACAATGGCCTGAAAGTCCATCAATCTTCTTTCCATAATGTTTCTTTTTTTTTTTTTCCCTCCACAAATTGCTTTCTCAGGAAACCAGCACGATGTCAAGCTGGCCACAGCCAACAGCATCTACTTCACAAATAAAAAGCACTTCATCAACACTTGCACAAGAAACTAATAAAGCCCTCAAGACACTTCCCACCCCAACCTAATGTGACGTGTTTACTTCATAAGCTGATGAGGCTTTTAAATTCCATCTTCATAAAAACTTACAAGAAACTGGCAGGCTCCTGGTAGAGAAGTATATTTTGTTGCTAAGCCTCTTCTGTGTGAATTTATTAAACTAGAACAGCCTGCTTGCCTTTCCAACCATGGTATTGCTGATGTGAAAGGGTCCCTAGCAGAGCTGGGATCTGGCAGTGGTAAAAAGCAGATGAAGTAGAAGGTCACGTTTTCTAACCTCCAAAATAAATGGATGCTCGGAAGCAATGCTAACTGAACAGCTCTAGGTTTCACAGTTTCTTCAGGAGAATATTGGTTAATGGTGATACTTAAGACTTAGAGTCTATTCCAAGGATTAAACCAATACTGTAGCCTCATAGCTCTGCATTTTACCACTTTGCTTAAAATAATTAATACTGAGCCATGTGCTTAATTATTGAAAAGGGATACAAGTTGTTTGTAGATACAGAAACATTATAACATTATAACATATAATATAATAATATAATATACATAATATACATATAATATAACATTATTATTGAACAAGTCTTAGATCTATAACTATAGTTGAAAAAACAGTTACCATTTTTGAAGTGGCAATATTCATAATACTGTTATGGTAGCTAAAACATGCACTTATATTACACAAAAATAGATTCACGCAGAACACAGGCAAGAAAAGCAACCAAGGCAAACAGCTGAAAAGCTGCTTGATACAAGATTTGCATCCCATATTGCAGATATTTCTTTAAATGCATTTACTGGGTTTGAACAGCAAAGAGAAAAAGCTGAGCATAAAACAATAGTTTCCTGAAACAACCAAAGACATTTTTTAATAAGCTTTGGCACAACAGCATACTATAATAAATCACTGACTTGCATATATATACAAGACAGATCCATCACTGATATTACTGAGGACAAGCTGTACGTACTTCCAAGAATGGGTGGGTCCATTTCTAACCTCTACACAGCAATGAATGTTTACTTCCTGAGTACAAAATACTCTAAAAATACACTGTAATAATTGGATATAAGCCCAATCAGATCCCTTCTCCCTCATGTCCTCTCCCTCACTGGAGTTTCCAACGGTCAGCAAGGTCTGCCTTCATCCCCGCGCCTTCCTGGAACCTCAAGGTCATAACAGCAATAGGGAAAGAAAAACAAGAGTGTCAAGGGATTACATCAGCTCAGACTCATTGCTTTTGCATGCAGGGAAAGGTAGAGCATGTGGTAAATCTACTTCTGAAATGAGCAAAACAATTGCAGGCTCAGTTTAAATTCTGTGAAGTTTAGAATAGTCGAGATTCCCAAATAAAGTGCTAGAAGTTTTTCCTATCTTCAGATGGGACCAAGAATTCACCAAGGGCACAGGAGAGCCACAACCAAACCATCCCCTTGAGCACACGGGGAGAAAGTGGCAGTGGGTTAAAGGCAACCTGCCATTCAAGAAGAAGCATTCAGAGCACAACAGTGCTTTAAAAACACAAGCACAGAGGAAAGGGTAAGGATTGTATCAGCATTTTGATGATACACCGGTTTTCTCATTCACCATCTGCAAAAGTAAAGCTCACACAGGCAGGCCGAGCAAACCACAAGCCCTAAAGGACCAACGTGCCCCAGTGTCATGGGTAAGATTTTAAACTCATAGGTGTCTGTGGGAAAGGGCACCACGAGGATGGGAACTGCAGAAAGCACACACCTGTGGGTCCCGTCACTAACAACTGCAAACCATGAAGATGCCAAATGATAGTCTTATTCATCTGGGCTCAGTTCAAAGGTTTAGTTTTGTTCATTTGTTGTACTGCCTTGTCACCTGCCACAGCTGTGCAAGCTAAGCAAAAGCTTAGATGACAACTTAAAGTTATTAAGAATTTTAGAGGAATACCTGATCAGAGTTTAGAAGAAAAAAAAAATCTGCAAGAAACATGCAAAATAGGATAAGAGCAGCTCTAAAGCTTTTTAGGGCTTAGCAACAGCAGCAAAGATTATCAGGACTAATTCTTTTTTCTTTTTCTTGTCAGGAACCATCCATACACCAGAAGAACAGTGGTTCTGATGGCTAAAAGAACATGCAGTTGAACTCTTCTTAGTTGTCAGCATATTCTCAAAGCAGAAATGTGTTTGGGAAGGCAATTTTACCCATTGCTTACAAATTCAGCGCTCCTTCTAAAATCCACAGGAGAAGAATTCTTCATGGATGTCTCAAACCTGCGCTTGATTATCACCAAGGGTTTTAATTTATATAAAAATCAGTGCACAAAATTATTGCTGTGCAGTATTCTCACTGCGAAACACCTTCTTGATTTTTTGTTTCTTAAAAAGCTGCTTACTTATAACATCCAGAAGTAGCTGCACTTAATATATTATAACAAGTCACATGGAGTTAAGAATGCAGGAATGAGGACAGACAGTAAATGTTGCTTCTGCTCTTTCCTAGGGAAATCAGAGATCCAGGTGTTAAATGAATCGTCTGAGACCACCCAAAAAAATACAGGAGTCAATTAATATGAAAGACAGTTCCTTCATCATCAACAGTTCCTCTACTGCCTGTCAAAATACAAACATTAAAGCTGTATGGAGCTCCCACCAGAACACAGGGGGTTTATTTCAGGTCACAAAGTCTGGCTCCTGCCAAAGTCTGGCAACACCAAATTCACCACTGGCACAAAGCATTTCCTAGAAAGCTAATCTCATTACCAGAGGGGGTCAGTTACTTGTTTTTATTCCACTTCCAATCTGTAGCTGCAGCAAAGAAATTTTTAAAGCAGCCCCAAATACCCTTATGCA